CCTGTTTTGAGTTACAAATATGAGCAACCACACCGGTATCAAATACCCAGGAGCTAGTACGAGTACTGGTAAGGTACACATCAATAACATGTATATCACATATACCTTTGGTGTTGCCGGCCTTCTTGTCCGCTAAGTACTTGGGGAAGTTCCGCTTCAAGTGACTGTTTCCCTTGCAATAAAAGCACTCAGTCTCAGGTTTGGGTCCTTGCTTTGGCTTCTTCTCGGATATTGGCTTACCGGGCGCGACAACTCCCTTGCCGTCCTTCTTGAAGTTCTTTTTACCCTTGCCTTTCTTGAAACTAGTGGTTTTATCGACCATCAACACTTGATGTTCCTTTTTGATCTCCACCTCCGCTGATTTCAGCATTGAAAATACCTCAGGAATGGTTTTTCACCATCCCCTGCATATTGTAGTTCATCACAAAGCTCTTGTAGCTAGGTGGGAGCGACTGAAGGATTCTGTCAATGACCGCGTCATCTGTGAGGTTAACTCCCAGCTGAGACAAGCGATTGTGCAACCCAGAGATTTTGAGTATGTGCTTGCTGACAGAACTATTCTCCTCCATCTTACAACTGTAGAACTTGTCGGAGACTTCATATCTCTCGACCCGAGCATGAGCTTGGAAAACCATTTTCAGCTCTTGGAACATCTCATATGCTCCGTGCTGCTCAAAACGCTTTTGGAGCCCCGGTTCTAAGCTGTAAAGCATGCCGCACTGAACCAGGGAGTAATCATCACTACGCGATTGCCAGGTGTTCATAACGTCTTGAGTTGCTGGGAAAACGGGTGCTTCACCTAGCGGTGCATCTAGGACATATGATCTTTTGGCAGCTATGAGGATGATCCTCAAGTTCCCAGTCCGTATAGTTGCTACCATCGTCTTTCAGCTTGGTTTTCTCTAGGAACGCGTTGAAGTTGAGGGCAAGATTAGCGTGGGCCATTTGATCTACAAGACATATTGCAAAAGTTTTAGACTAAGTTCATGATAATTATGTTTATCTAATCAAATTATTTAATGAACTCCCACTCAGATAGACATCCCTCTAGTCATCTAAGTGATACATGATCCAAGTCAACTGGGCCATGCCAGATCATCACGTGAGACGGACTAGTCATCATCGGTGAACATCTTCATGTTGATCGTATCTTCTATACGACTCATGTTTGACCTTTCGGTCTCTTGTGTTCCGAGGCCATGTCTGTACATGCTAGGCTCGTCAAGTCCACCTAAGTGTTTTGCATGTGTAAATCTGGCTTACACCCATTGTATGTGAACGTTAGAATCTATCACACCCGATCATCACGTGGTGCTTTGAGACAACGAACTTTCACAACGGTGCACAGTGAGGGGGAACACTTCCTTGAAATTATTATGAGGGATCATCTTATTTATGCTACCATCATTCTAAGCAAATAAGATGCAAAAACATGATAAACATCACATGCAATCAAATAGTGACATGATATGGCCAATATCATTTTGCTCCTTTTGATCTCCATCTTCGGGGCACCATGATCATCATCATCACCGGCATGACACCATGATCTCCATCATCGTGTCTCCATGAAGTTGTCTCACCAACTATTACTTCTACTACTATGGCTAACGGGTTAGCAATAAAGTAAAGTAATTACATGGAGTTATTCATTGACACACAGGTCATACAATAAATAAAGACAACTCCTATGGCTCCTGCCGGTTGTCATACTCATTAACATGCAAGTCGTGATTCCTATTACAAGAACATGATCAATCTCATACATCACATATGTTTCATTCATCACATCCTTTATGGCCATATCACATCACATGACATATGCGACAAAAACAAGTTAGACGTCCTCTAATTGTTGTTGCAAGTTTTTACGTGGCTGCTATAGGTTTGTAGCAAGAATGTTTCTTACCTACGCCAAAAACCACAACGTGATATGCCAATTGCTATTTACCCTTCATAAGGACCCTTTTCATCGAATCCGACCCAACTAAAGTGGGAGAGGCAGACACCCGCTAGCCACCTTATGCAACTAGTGCATGTCAGTCGGTGAAACCTGTCTCACGTAAGCGTACGTGTAAGGTCGGTCCGGGCCGCTTCATCCCACGATGCCGCCGAAACAAGATAAGACTAGTAGTGGCAAGTAAATTGATAAAATCGATGCCCACAACAAACTTGTGTTCTACTCGTGCATAGAAACTACGCATAGACCTAGCTCATGATGCCACTGTTGGGGATCGTTGCAGAAATTGAAATTTTTCTACGCATCACCAAGATCAATCTATGGAGTAACTAGCAACGAGAGAGAGACGAGTGCATCTTCATACCCTTGAAGATCGCGAGACGGAAGCGTTGCAAGAACGCGGATGAAGGATTCGTACTCGAAGCGATTCAGATCGCGGGTGGATTCCGATCTTAGCGCCGAACAACGGCACCTCCGTGTTCAACACACGTACAGCCCGGTGACGTCTCCCGCGCCTTGATCCAGCAAGGAGGAGGGAGAGGTTGAGGAAGATGGCTCCAACAGCAGCACGACGGCGTGGTGGTGATGGAGTGGCAGTTCTCCGGCAGGGCTTCGCCAAGTTCGCGCGGAGGAGGAGAGGTGTTGGGGAGGGGAGGGGCTGCGCCTTGGATGTGGTGCTGCAGCCCTCCCCTCACCCCTCTATTTATAGGGAGAAGGGGGCCGGCCCCTCTAGATGGGATCTAGAGGGGGGGCAAGGGGGAGGGGGCTTGCCCCCTAAGCAAGGGGGGCGCCCCCCTTAGGGTTCCCCCCAACCCTAGGCACATGGGCCCTAGGGGGGGGCAGCCCACTTAGGGGCTGGTTCCCTTCCACCTACAGCCCATAAGGCCCTCCGGGACAGGTGGCCCCTCCCGGTGGACCCCTGAACCCCTCTGGTGGTCCCGGTACAATACCGGTATACCCCCGAACATTTCTGGCGACTGTATGATGACTTCCCATATATAAATCTTCACCTCCGGACCATTCCGAAACTCCTCGTGACGTCTGGGATCTCATCCGGGACTCCAAACAACATTCGGTAATCACATACAAATCTTCCTTATAACCCTAGCGTCATCGAACCTTAAGTGTGTAGACCCTACGGTTCGGGAATCACGCAGACATGACCGAGACAGCTCTCCGGCCAATAACCAACAACGGGATCTGGATACCCATGTTGGCTCCCACATGTTCCATGATGATCTCATCGGATGAACCAAGATGTCGAGGATTCAATTAATCCCGTATACAATTCCCTTTGTCAATCGATATGTTACTTGCCCGAGATTCGATCGTCGGTATCCCAATACCTCATTCAATCTCGTTACCGGCAAGTCACTTTACTCGTTCCGTAATGCATGATCCCGTGACTAACCACTTAGTCACATTGAGCTCATTATGATGATGCATTATCGAGTGGGCCCAGAGATACCTCTCCGTCATGCGGAGTGACAAATCCCTGTCTTGATTCGTGCGAACCCAACAGATACTTTCGGAGATACCTGCAGTGCACCTTTATAGTCACCCAGTTACGTTGTGACATTTGGTACACCCAAAACACTTCTACGGTATCCGGGAGTTGCACGATCTCATGGTCTAAGGAAATGATACTTGACATTAGAAAAGCTTTAGCAAACGAACTACACGATCTTTTGCTATGCTTAGGATTGGATCTTGTCCATCACATCATTCTCCTAATGATGTGCTCCCGTTATCAATGACATCCAATGTCCATAGTCAAGAAACCATTACCATCTGTTGATCAACGAGCTAGTCAACTAGAGGCTCACTAGGGACATGTTGTGGTCTATGTATACACACATGTATCACGATTTCCGGTCAATACAATTACAGCATGAATAGTAGACAATTATCATGAACAAGGAAATATAATAATAATCATTTTATTATTGCCTCTAGGGCATATTTCCAACAAAGGGAGCTTGGGCGAGGCGAAGCATCCCTGAACGGTCGGGTCCGCCTTGTAGGTTGCGAGGGAGGCCGCAACGAGTGCACTGGCCAGAGCTGGAGGGGCCGCCAGAGACGACGCCACAGTCGCGAGCATTGGGCCGTCACAGACGCGGGAACAGATAGGAACACAGCCATCGCAAGGGCATGCCTTCGAGGGAAAGAAGAGAGAGGGCGTCTTGGTGATTTCAGATCGTGTTTCTTTGCATGTTGTAGAGTGGCTTTTGGATGCAGGTTATGGTTTGAATTGACGACATCTGGAGATGGTGAATCATGTGCCGAGTTCATGGTTCGTGGTTGGCAGATACGATTTTCTCCTCCGATGTCTTAGTTGTGCGGGGCATCAAATATGGAGTTTGATGGCACGTCTACGGTGTTGCCTATTCGTTCAACGATAATGGTCTCGCTTGTGGTGAGCCACCTTGAAGATCCGCAAAGCTGAATATTGGCGATGGAGCCGCGTCGAACTCGGATGAGAAGTTGATCCGTTATTTGTTCCTTTTGATGGCTGCTATGGTGGTGCCGGAGGTATGTGACGGGCGCTGATGTCAAGTTCCGGGAATTCTTCGGTCTTATTGTAGTGTTCAATCTTGTCTGATATTTCTTTGTGCCAAGACGTTTTGCTATTTTTTCAGTTTTGTTAAGTCGGTGTCTACGTAGCTTGTACAGTTGTACTATGATCTTTTATCTCATATAAATGTGACAAGTATTACCATTCAATTCTTTTTTACCATATATTGTATTCATTGGGTATATACATCGTACGGCCAAAAAGAGTCGTGCCACATGAATCCACGGCCAAAAGAGTCCAAGACGACGTCTCTGGATTCAGGTTCGGATTATTCGTGCACGCCGCTGTGCCGCTTACCGCCCGTGACACGGATGCTCGTACGGTGTCCGTCTCTGCAGCCAACGCACGTCTCCTGTCGTCTCGTCCTCGTCTTCCTTCCTCCTCCCCAATCGGCAACCGCGGATTCCTCCTCGATAGATCCGGCAGGCGCACAGGCGACGGTCTCGAGCTGCGACAGAAGGCGCCATGGGGCTCTGGGACTCGCTCCTCAACTGGCTCCGAAGGTTCCCGTCTACCTCTCTCCCCCCTTCCTTTTCGCTCGATATTTTCGCGGTTCAGACGGGGCGGCCCCCCTCCCGGCGGAATTCCGGTTCCCCCTTCGATTCGATTTGACCGGTACTAGTATGGGTTTTTGCGGGACAGGTTTGGATGGATCGGATTTCCCTGGGCGGCGGGATGATGCGGCTGGGTCGGGGGTTGGAGTGGGTCTGTGCTCTGCGCAGTTAGATCCACGTTAGATCAAGCTAATGTAGAGCATACGCATTTACTCCCTCTGTAAACTAATATAAGAGCATTTAGATCACTAAAGTAGTGATCTAAATGCTCTTATATTAGTTTACAGAGGGAGTAGAAGGTAGCCTTTGGTGTACTGACCTAGTATAAGCTTGTAGCAGTATCTTAATAGACACTCATGTAGTTAGGGTCTTTGAAGGGTAAAGGGAAATAATTTTGAACTTGATACTACTGTTTTTAAGAAGCGTGCCTTTGAAGAGTGTTCCACAATTCATTGCAATTTGATTTGAAGCCAATTAGGGCCTGTGTTGTTAAAAAGGAATGTTATCCTTGCCTTGTGGGCATCGGAGACCTGGAAGCTCCCTTTGTGAGAAGAAATTGCTGGAACTACTCATTTAGGTTGAATTTGCTACAGTAAAGGTTATAGGGTGAGCGTTTGGAGTTTTACTGTTAGGATCCAATCCTGAGTAATCTTCGCTGTTGTTCTTGATGTTCTTAACTGTCAGTTAGGTTGGTCCAGGTCATGTTGGTGAATCAGCTTGAGATCAAGTTTTACTACCCAGTTTAGTCAATGCTATATGGGTATCCTTACTCGACCAAATCATAAAACATGAAGATGTGCCAATAATTAATACTGAATTGTCTTTGAAGGATTTGACCAATCAATCAAAATTAACTCATGTCAGTAACATTTTTTCTTTCAGCCTGTTCTTTAAGCAGGAGATGGAGCTCTCCCTGGTTGGCCTACAGAATGCTGGGAAGACATCTCTAGTCAATTCAATTGCTGTACGCATCAACTCATACTCCCTCTGTAAACTAATATAAGAGTGTTTAGATCACTAAAGTAGTGATCTAAACGCTCCTATATTAGTTTACGGAGGGAGTACAACTTAAGCTATGCAACAATTTTTTTCTTTGTTGTCCTGATATTCATTCATGGCTGCTATGCTTCTCAGACCGGTGGATACAGCGAGGACATGATTCCAACTGTATGTATATCACTGCTTCTTGATGGATATTTTGAAGTATCTCGGTTATCTAAGTGACCTGAACTAAGGATGTTCATCTGCTGAAAACAGGTAGGCTTTAATATGCGGAAAGTCACCAAGGGAAATGTCACAATTAAACTTTGGGATCTTGGAGGGCAACGTAGATTCCGGACTATGTGGGAGCGCTACTGTCGTGGAGTTACGGCTATTCTGTAATGTCCCTTGCTTCTCAGAGATCTCGTATTTTGCATATCTGAAAACAAAATTTTGTGATAATATGATTTGTATGCCAATATGCAATAAATAACATCCATTCCGAAGGTAATCCCTGGTATGCTCGAAGGAGATATTACAGTATGATATGCAATTTTGTGATAATATGATTTGTATGCCAATATGTAATAAATAACATCCATTCTGTAATACTAGTTTATGATATGCTCGGTTTATTTCTTAGCCAGTCCAAACCTATTTGCTTAATATACTTATGCGAGGACCATTAGAGTCAGATTCCTAGTTCTTTCAAACTACTAATTCTACTGCTTAACTGTAGAATAATTGTAGACTGCTGAGTTGACGCTTTGTCCAAGGAGCTCAGTTATGTAGATACATCATATATTTTCCCTAGTAATGGCTGGAGGTGTAACCTCCTTTTCGAAAGAAAAATTGTCTAGTGATAATATTTGTTCTCTCATATGGGCATGTTATTCATGCATTTATCATGACCCTTTTTTGTTGTTACCAATATATTTTTTGTATCTCTACCTTAGGTGATACTAAATATGGAGTCACTAATGTGTTAACTTGATCATTTAATGGCAGATACGTTGTCGATGCTGCTGACCGGGATAGCGTTCCGATTGCTAAAAGTGAATTGCATGACCTGCTGACAAAACAATCTTTATCTGGGATCCCCTTACTTATCCTTGGCAACAAAATTGACAAGTCAGAGGCACTTTCTAAGCCGGCATTAGTTGATCAACTGTGAGTAAAAATCATGTTTTTCATATAGGATGTTGTACCTTTTTTCTTAATGATATTTCAACTGGGGTGCCTCTCCTTTCTGTTTTCAGAGGCCTGGAATCTATAAAGGACCGTGAAGTTTGCTGCTACATGATCTCTTGCAAGGACTCGGTGAACATAGATGTTGTCATTGATTGGCTCATCAAGCATTCTAAGACTGCAAATTAGGGTTGCTGTGTGTTTGTGCCCCCTTCACGTGTGCCGAGATGAATTTAGTTTGCACATCTCCGTTCTCATGATCTGGAAGGTGATGTAAAAGGTGACAGCCTTGTAATCTATGATACATCTTTGGTGTCACTGAGGAACAGTATGGAGTTTGACACTTGGGCCTCAAAATCTGTAATGCTCTGTAAATTCCTTAAACCTTTGATTGTTCTTTTGTGTGCAGATCATGTGTGTTATTCTTATTTCTTTGGCCTAGTTCTTTGCCGTTGAGTTCTCCTTAGTAAGCCTTTCCCTATTTTGGTGTTTATTTAGCCTAATTTGTGCTTAATTTTTCCCAGTAGAATATGAATAAGGCACAGCACAGCATAGTTCAGCAACAGCAAAGTAACCACAACACAACATAGTTCAGCAACTGGAAACATCAAAATCCTGTCGTGTTGTTTTCTCCGTCTAAAGCTGTAGCTCCCCTTTTTAAGGCCCTAATCGTTTCAAATGATTTTCACAGGAAATCTATAGGAAGTGGTGTTCCAGAGGAATTTAGGCAAGATGGTCATTCGGACCAAAGGAAATGGTGATTTGATATCCTCTGGAATACTGTTCTGGCAACGTGATTCCTCAGGAAATGAAAAAAATCCAGCCCGGGGTCATGTTACGCGTATGTACGAGGCAAATCGATGGCTTTCTAAATAAACAATTCAGTAGGTAGGTGCTTTACGTGAGGGAAGCACCATGCAACCAAATAAAAAATGTAGAATCTTTCTTTCTTGGCATCTAACGGTGGAAGTCTTGCTCCGTTTTTTCTATGCTGTGTCGAATGTCATTGCTTCTTTTCCCTCTGTTTTTGAATCCTTAGAGCATCTCCAGCCGCGCCCCCAACAAGGCTCCCAGGTGACTTTTCGGCCGTCGGCGTCAAAAAATTGGCCTAATTGCGTTACCAGGGGTCCATTTTTTGCTGGCTCGAGCCGAAATTGGCGCAGCTTTTCCCCCGTTGCCCGACGCCATCACCAAGCCATCGTACTTCGCCGACGAGGTCGAGATCACGCGCGCCTCTCTCACCGACGCCGAGCGCTCCCTTCCCCAGTACGCCGCCGACAACAACGCGGCTTGGGCGGCGTACTTCGAGCGCCGCCAGCAGCAATGGCTGGCGTCCACCAACGGGGCGCCGATGGTCGGCGGCACCAAGAACAGGGAGGGGCGCCACCCACTACTAGGAAAAGGGCTATAGATGGAATTGACACTAATAGCGCACCAGACATGTGGTGCGCCATTACTATATACTAATGGCGCACCATGTGTTGGTACGCCATTAGTGTCCAAATATTAATGGCGCACCACATCGCAGGTGCGCCATTAGTAAAAAAAAAATTTAAATTTTTTTGTCAAAACTACTAATGACGCACCGTGGCAGTGGTGCGCCATTACTAGTTGAACTAGTAATGGCGCACCATGCCACGGTGCGCCATTAGTAACTTGGCCACCACTTTCACCGAATGCACCTCCTTGGATCGCCTTTTCAGTTTAAAAAAAATAAAAGAAAATGATGAAAATGTCAAAAAAATAAAAGAAAATAAGTTTCCCATGTGATATGTGGTCTAGTTGTTGTGAAAATTTGCAAATATGAATTTCGACTTCATTTGCAAAATCTCTCGAGAATTTGTAAAAATGGGCATAACTTTTGCATACTAACTCGGATGAAAAAGTTTTTTATATGAAAAATCATCTACTCGAAAAGTTACATACGAATTTAACCGGGGAAACCCCGTTAAACATTTTCAAAATCCTCAAAAACCTAACAGAAAAAAGATACGGGGCTTTTAAGATCTGGAGAGGCAAAAAAATTCAAAAAAATTCAAACTCACTAATGGCGTACCTGCCCATGGTGCGCCATTAGTATCTTCCCGCCTTCAAAATTTAAAATAAGTCAAAAAAATAAAAAAAAAGTTACTAATGGCGCACCTGCCCATGGTGCGCCATTAGTATCTTCCCGCCTTCAAAATTCAAAATAAGTCAAAAAAATAAAAAAAAAAAGTTACTAATGGCGCACCGGCCCATGGTGCGCCATTAGTATCTTCCCGCCTTCAAAATTCAAAATAAGTCAAAAAAATAATAAAAAAGTTAGTAATGGCGCACCTGCCCATGGTGCGCCATTACTATGTCGTATATATGGCTGGGTGCACCTCCTCCACTCCACCTCTCCTCCACTCCACCTCTCCTCCACTCCATCTCCTCCTCTCCTCTCCTCCACTCCATCTCCTCC